AACACAGTTTTCCGTGCTTTTTTTACCATCTTCTGCAGCCCCGAGGAAAACAGCGCGCCACGAGCAGTGGATTTCAGCCGTGGTGAAACTTGGTAAAAGATGTCTTGTCCGCGGCCAGTTAGCCTTAATTTGGAGCACCGCCAGTTCACGGTTATTAAGAACCGACGAACCGTATCGTGACGTTTAAAGTTTCAATTTCCATAGTTTCGCGGCATTACGACTTCGCGGTTCCGTGTCACGAGCATTTTTCCACGCGTGTTTCTTTCTAGAATATCGTCGGTCAATGAACGCGAAAAAATGCCCGCGCATCGCTAGTTTCCAAGAAGGCTTTAGAAAATATTTTTCACATTTTCCACGCTTCTTTCTCCATTTTTTTTCCTTTTTTTCCTTTTTTTTCTTTTTCCTTTTTTTTCATCGACAATATCCGGTTTTTTCCAGCCCCCGTTGCAAACGATACGCGTATATTCGCGCGATATTTAAGCGACGTTTAAAATAAAACCGTCATCGAGATATTCCGCGAGACAACGTATTTACGTATAACTGATTTCTGCGAACATGATCGTCGCGCTATTGTACGACCACGTTTCCCGACGTTCGATCGAAGCAGGATTAACGACGATATATCAACCGACACCTGTGCGAGACGTGTTTCCTCGTGATCAACAGTCGTGATAAGGAATCGCGTTAAAAAGTGGCGTGATCGTGTCGGGCGCGTAATCAGGGTAATTATGAACGTTACGCGCCTTCCTTCGTTGAAATGCTTGAGCCGTTAATTGGCAAACTGCGAGTCAGTCACGTAACTAGCGGTGTAGTACGAGCTAATGAATGTGCCAAGTTTTTCTAGCCGTTATGCCGTTGTAAAAGTTCGCATTAACAAGTCGATCGATGAAATTCACCGGCGGCCGTCGAGCTTGCGGTTTCAACCGACGCGAGAGCGGAACTAGTCGCGACGCGGAAACGAAGCGGGCTCGCGCCGCGTTTCGACAGCAAGGGTCGCGACGTAATCGCGCGGGTACGCGAGGGAATTTTCGAGAGGAAAGAGCGGCGGCGGCGGAGAGGCGCGAGTCGGAGAGCTCGTTTCGATATTTACCGGCTCGTTCCGATTACGAAGTCGTTAACGGAAACGACGGACGGAGAATGCATCGACGTGGCAGTAATACAGCGTGAAAGGGTGTCACCGATGGCAACGAGGTCCTTTGATGCTCGTTGGTTACTTATCAGCGGCAAAGGGAGCGCGGCCGCGATAAAGGATCATAGACGGCTCGAAATAAGTCCGAATAAAGGCTCCTCGACGGAGGGCGCGCTGTGAAAAAGCTACCGTCTGTCTTCCGGGATCCGCTCGTTTTCACGGAATGACCTGAAAGGTAGAAATTGCGACAAAGGAACAGAGGCTCGGCTCGAAGAAACCGGTCGGTGAATCTATGAAAGCAAGGGAACATAGGCAGCTGGCAACGCGGCTCCTCCGTGAAAAAGCCGCGAAACATCTCTCGTGCCTTTCCTTTCAACGTTTTTATTTATTAAACATCGTAATGTTATAGTATGTACAATAATATACCTATCTAATCTAACGATATCACTGCGATTACAGATTCTTCCGTGTTTTTTTTTTCTTTTTTTTTATCTTCTCCCGCTCGTTGATTCGTTTGCTCGCTTTCAGCATCGTCGATTAAGAGCTACCGGCTGCCGAGTGTGCACACCACGCGCCATTTTCTTTATACTCGTTTCTCCTTAAACACTCGAGTAATCGCTCGCCTCGTCGAATGTACGCCTCGTTGTACCTCGCGATACTCGAACTTTTCGTTTAATCGGCATAGTCCGTCGGCGTTTCGTGCACGCGGTAACGCGCGCATCGCGAAGCGAGTCGAAGCGAGTCGAAGCGAGTCGAATCGGACGAGAGCCGAACGAGAACGAACCGAAAGCGAACACTTCTTCGACTTTTTCCCCTTTTCACGCGGAAACGCGATCACTCGTATCGTTTTTCCGCATTTTTTCCTTCCCAACGGGAGCATCAACGACACTTTTCCTTTCGGAGAGACTAAAAGGCCGCGGATACCGGAACAAAGTGGCCATCACAAGGGCAAAGCGATTGGTGCACAGTCAGGGGAGCAAAATCGAAGCCGGCCAGCGGAGTGTGACAACCCGTGAATCGAATTCTATTCGTAGGCGGAATTCGATTCGCGACGAGCTTGTCCAGTCGGAACGGACGAAACCCGGAGTTTGTTCCGATGCGTTTCCCTTTCTTTCCGTTTCCCTCTCATTCCGACGCGGGATGCAACCGTTTACCGCGTTTCGCGTTTCATAAAACCCGCAAATCGCGATGTTTCGACACAGAGAAACTCGGGAAACGTGGATGCGCGAACAGCTCGATTTCTTTCCTCGCGCCGATTCCATCTCGTCCTCGGAGAATTCTTTCCACCCGTTAATTTCTTTTTCCTTCCTTTTTCCAGAGATTGTTCGAGACTCGGCACGATTCGCCACCTGTCACAGCTGCGTCGACGCGACGTAGGTAAGTAAAACTAATTTTCCAATCGGGATACTCGCAGCAGCGATTTCGTCTGCGTAAAACGAATCAAGCATTGCGGGGGATCGATGGAGAACGTAACGGGATTTCGCGAGTTAGCTAGAAAACGGTGTTATCGATCAACGAGGAACAAAAAGGAGAGGCGGAAATAACGTATCGTTGGGTTACTGGCGAACGCGCAGAAAGTAAACGCGATTCGCGAGGTTAAGATCGATTCTGCGATCTTGCTTAATGGACCACGACCTATCCGTTTCGCGTAGTTTCCGCTGAAAGCGAAGAAAAATCCGGAAACTTTGCTCCCCCTGAGGTCCACGCAATTATTCTGCGGAGTGTAGGCGTGCGAGGCCACGTTCCGTTTCGTCGACCGCACGTGTATCGACTCCAACTTCCATTTCACCCTCGAAAAACTTCCGGAACGTTGACCGGTTTCGGTCGAGAGTTTCGGTGCTAGTCTCTTCTTTCTTTCTCTCTCTCTCTCATTCTCTCCGTTATTCGATGGCCGTCTCGATCCCTTTCGACTCTTTCGACCATTCGCGCGCACGTAATCCGAGTTGGAGGAAGATCCGCCACCGTGCTAGGAACGCGAAAGTGCGGGTGAGGGTTGGAGCATCGGATTGGCGTTGGACGCGAGAGAACGATCCGCGATCACGTCACATCGAAACACACGCAAATGGAAAGTAAAAACTGTCGCGATTGTAGTAGATCCGTCCAGCTCGATGATCCGGGAATCTGAGCGCGTGGTGAAAGAGACGCGTGACGGCGGCCCTTTTCAACGATGTCGCGCGTTTTTGACGTACGCAGTGTCGACTGGGAAGCCTTTGAAAGGAAGGAGAAATGTACACGGTAGTAAAAAGGTGGGGCTGGGGAGAAAGTGGTTTAAAAGTTGGCAGTAGACGGGTTCGCGGATGATCGAGCGGAAGGAACGACGGACAAGCGTGATCGAAGCTGTTGGATCGCGTGGAAAGAGAAGCAAAGACCGTGGTCGCTGGCTCGTACGTCGGAATCGTCGCTCCGGGTGGATGTTTCTGTTTTCGCCTTCTCGTTTCGTCGTGGAGCATTTCGCTGGCGAGTAAAATCCGTGACAAGCGATCACCCGGCGTTCGATAATCGTGCCGCAACGACGAATGCGGGCGAAGATTCGCGCGTACGGTTTGCGGGTCGTTGGCACGGAACCACTCCGGCCGCGAAACTCGTTTCCACGCGGTAAACGCGATTACTAGATCCAGCAGACCGGTGCTCAGGTGAGAGAGAGCACGGACGCCTCGGCGCGGCGAAATGTCGCGCAACGCGCCTGCACGTATTTACGCTCGCGTCGTCGGCGTGTAACTATCATCACCCGACCACGATTTATAATACAGACGCTATGTACAGGTTCTCGTGTTTGCTGGTCGACGCTAATACCCGCTGAACCAACGACAAACGGACAGATCTGGCGAGCACAACGTGGCCGCTCGCGTCGCAGTTTGCCTGCCAGCTGTGTTGGCTCTCCGTTCCAAACTCCAGCTACATAGATCCTTTGTAGTCGCGCGCCGAACACCGCGCTGTCTTTCGCTTTCCCGTTTAGTCGATACGCTCGCGTTCACCCGGTCGACGTCGCGACGCCCCGTGTCACGATTCCGCTTTCGTAGTTTCACGCGTCCGACTATCGTCGCGACATCGTGCAATCTCATTCACGTATTTTCGATGGAACTCGATCGGTAATCGCGACGCAACGAACGATATCGTTTAAAAGCCCGCAATTGATCGGTACGGGACGAGGTAAAAATCGCTTGGGTAAATTTATCGAATATTTCCCGACAAACGCGAATCGATGAGCTTGATAAACGAGCATCGTAAACGTTTGAAAATTAGAACGCGACCGGTCGACGCGAATTCCGCTTGCTCGAAGCGCGACGATTATTTCGACCGGCTCGGTAACAATAATTTCCGGTAATTGTTTTCAATCGCGAAACGTTTGCATTTCTGACTGTTAATCGGCTGGAAGAGATTTGCGAGCGTTTTTCGTCCGCCACGCGACAATGATGCATGTAACCGACCGCGGTGACCGTAATGCGCTCGCTCCGAGATATTAACATTCGTATCGCACGCCCGTAGCTGTCACGCGGAACCGCGATATTTTTCGCCCTAACTCGTGCACGCGTACGCACGTTCGGGACACGTTAGCGATTAATCGATTCGGAGTATCTCTCGATTTCTTCGCGAGACCTCTCGATTACTCGCGTAATAATTTCGTCGCGGTTTGTCGGCGTGTCACGAAACCGCGAGATCTCGCAACCGCGTCACGTTTTATCCCCAGGTGAACGTTGCCTCGCGCATCTCGCATTTCGAATATTCCACCGGTCGTAAAGCGTGTCGCGAGACGGTTGTTTCTCGCTTTTACGCCACTCGTAAATCGGTTTCTCTCGTTACGGATTATCGAAACCTCTCTGGTTTCTCTTCGACGAACCGCGCCAACTCTTTCTCGCCAGACCGTCGCCCATCGTCTTCGGTATTAGCGTCGACTTTCCCTTAATTAAACGCCGTTCCATCGACATACCGCGCCTTCCGGCTCTCTTTTCGGAACACGCGTACGCGTCGATCTCGATTCTCCGGAGAACGCGCCACGCGTGTCCTTTCGCGTCTTCTTTCGCGTCTCCTTTCGCGTCTCTTGTTCGATCGTTCCCTCGTCGGGATCGCGTACAGATCGCTCGCGATCGATCGGTGACCGACCGAGGAAAAGACGACGCGCGCGCGTTCGCGATCACTGCGGCGAATCGTTCGGGAAGATCCGATGTGCTCGTCCAGCGAAATCTCGTTTCGCGTCTGGAACGAGACCGCGGCGAGTCTCTCCGTCTTCGGTTGGGTCAGCGACGATCGAAGTTAACGCGAATGGAACACGCTGACAGGTACAAACGTACGATCGAAGGTGGAATTCGGAGATGAAAGCCAACGAGTCGTCGATTGGTCGCGTTTCGTTCGCGTTTCGTTCGCGACGTTCGATAGCTCGAGCACGACATCGCTCGATACGCGCGCGAAACTCGCGCGAGTCGATCGGTGCAAATGGCGGAGCGGTTTTCGCGCGCACGCGAGCCTCGACAGACTGTGCAACTCTGTTCGAGAGACGTCGTGGCGACGGCTGTTCGTTTCATTCGATGTTCGTTTACACCGACGATATGTACAAAATGATCAGAGACACCAAAAGACAGCTCGAGGATAAAATAGGTCCCGCCGTTCCGGTCTGCATCGCCTCTGGTCGTTCGCCTGCAACAGAAAGCCACGAGATCTCATCTTCGCGAGCACGTTCTCGGTACCCGTCCCGTGTCTCGCGTCAAAGTCAACCAACTTCTTATTATCGCTATTAGGACGGGACACGTAGTCGCGCGCAGAATGCTTTGTTCCATCTTCTCGCGCCACGCATCCCACGCTCTCCCGTTAAATTAATATCGGAAGTTTCCGCAATCCTGCGAGTCAGCCTGTGGCGAATCAGGGTCCTGGATCAAACGGCTTTGATTACACTCGAACCGGATGTATGTTTTGCATCCGAGAACCTCGATACCTCTTATTACGAACAGTCTACGTACCCCGTACGCTGTTTGTTGCGCGACTAAATTTCTTCGCCTCGCTTAACGCTCACCGTGCAACTCTTCGAGATAGGAAGAGGAGTGAAACCGTTTTCTCCTTCTTCGTGGAATTTCTATTCGCGAAACGTTTTCACGCGACGCTGTACATCTCGTGTGCCCGGCTCTAAAAAAGCGAACAGCTTTCGAGCACGGAAAACGAGTTTTTCGCGATAGACGCGGTATTTTAGGGGTAAACGTTGGCGAGATTGTTTGCGTTGCTCGTGGAGGAAATACATGGAAAACTGTCAAAGGGTTATATCCAAATCGTTCGTGCTGGTCGGTGAAATCGTATCGAGTGGTTTTAATCGGGGCATCCCGGCGTTTGCAAACGGTCGATTGAAAGGAAAGTCGAAATTTTTTTCTTCCTCCCGCGATTTTCTCGCTGAATGGCACTTTGACCAGCAGCGCGGCCTCCGAAAGGGTGGAGACCGCGTCCAAGTTCCGTTCTTTGCTTCTTTCTTCGTTAAAGGACGCCCGCGGCTGCCGGGGTATTTTATGCGACGGATTGAAATGCAATTTCCCCTAGATTTTCGTCCGGTTCGTGCCACTTTCAAAGAATTCCTTCACCCGGGAACGTCGGAATCCGCGTAATTTACATGGACAGAAATTTGTAGTCGGCGATCGACGTCCCTTATTGACCGCCGTAAAACGACTCACGATCGCGCGACTCGTGACATCGATGACCCATCCTCGAGCAAGAATTTTCGATATACCGATAAATTTGTTCGAGTCCGGTGCACGTAAATATCTCCAATTACGGATAAATATTTACGGGAGATATGGGACACGGGGAACACGGGGGAAATTTCGAGGGAAACGGAACAACCGACGCTTTAATCGACGGAAAATACCGCGAGGGTCGAGCAGCGCGCGAACTTTGGGAAAATTTGTAAAATTTTGTTTAAATTTGCATCAGCGAAACTATTTCGCGGAATGGCGTTCTATCGAGAAACGGCGAATACGATGGCAAACACTCTCGCCACGCTGAAACTCGTTTGCTCCGTGAGAACATCGCTGAATAAACATGCAAAACTTGGCGACTGCGTAATTGCCAAGTTCTGATAGGCTGATTGCGAGGACCCAGATGCCGGGGAAATCTGGGAGAGGACAGGTGCACGCGATACTCGCCGAAATTTTCCAGCTGCCGACGAACGGAAACAAACGCGCGAATTAACACACCGACGAAGCCGGTTCGCGAGAAAATTAACGGGTTAGGCGAACGTGCAGGCGAAACGGTTTATGCAAAAGCGAACGATCGCTCGTGAAATTTCTGTTCCGGGTTCGTCGATGAAACCCCGTTGCCTCGTCGAAAGTTCGCCAACATGGTCCTTTTTAATACTCGAATCAGCCGTGAAACTCGTTTCGGGTCGGCAGCCGAGTTTTACTTACTACCAACGTCAACCATGGCTTCACCCATGGGCAGCGCTCAAATTATTTCCCTTTCGTTTTTCGCCTTTATTACTCGCTCGCGAATCGTCGCGGACATTTCCTCAGTCCGCGGCTCATACTCGCCATGTTAAAATTCCTCCTGTCGTGAATAACTCGCTGCGTCGTAAACGCCGAGAAACCGTTCCTTCGAAAAAACGTTATCCCGTTTGGGAACGACGGGCATAAACATCGAATGGATGGAAAACGCGTTAGCGAACAGCGAAAGCTGCGAGGAAGATATCGAAATCCGAGGTGTAGTATGCCTTTATTGTGCTGGATACCGCGTTTGTCCGCGAGACCGGTGATTTACGCGGCGAAAGAAGCCTCCGGATGGACCGGAAGCGTCTCGTGGTTGACTATACGCTGGACGAACGAGAGTCGGGTCGTAAGGTTATGCGATCGCGCGTGTAAACACTCACCATTTAGGACATGAACTTTGATGGACGCCGTATTGGCATTGCTGGGTTTGCAGCTGTACTCCCCAGAGTCCGAGGGTTGCGCCGTCTGGATAAGGAGCCAAGAGGTGGTGACGTCGCCACCCTTCTCGGTTATCACCGAGACGCCGCCCCTGGGACTGTCGTAGCTCAAAACCTTCTCATTGTAGTACCAAAAGATGTAGGCTGGTGGCTCCGAGCTGAAGTGTATGGCGCACGTCAGGTTTATCGTGCTACCCGCGCCAACGTACAGGTCCGGACCTCCGAGTATCGTCGCTGTCGGAACTGCGATAAAGAACGACCATCTTTTTCCTCTCTCGCCACTCTCTCTCTCTTCCGCCATCTCGGACATCTCTACCCACTCCATCCTTTCTTCGTTCTCGTGTGCCTACACGAAACGGGACGAAAGTTGTCGCGAGAAAGCGCGAAACGCCGCCTCTCGAAAACGATATTCGCGCGAGCGAGAGGAACGAGGGTTCTTTACCCATTCGCGAGATACTAACGAGCCAAAGCTTTTCATCGAAGACCAAGGTCATTGTAATCGAAATAACGAGACCGGCTTTGACTGCGTCGCGCTCTCCGAAATTAGATTTGCAAGTTTCTCCCTCGACGACGTTAATGGACGACTCGATGTGGTCGTCGAGCGGTTCCCGTAATACATCTGGATCATTATTTTACAAAATGTTTCGAGAGCAATCGACGTCGGGGCAACCCGGAGCGCGTGCATTATTTCTGCGAGCTTCTGCGAGAGGCGCGCGATTTCAAGGTGACGACCGGTAATATCTACTCGGATATTCTCGTCGTAGGCCGTAAACGTGAACGTAATGCGCCGTGTAAGGAGAATGCGATAGAAAGCTCCGCCTCTCTTCCGTTCCATTTCCGCGTACGTAGTCGAAAGATTCCGATAGAGATGGACGCGGGAAGGTTAAAATCCGAGTGGAAAGCGTAATCGGTGAAATGTTAATCGGTGAATGAAACTTACCGACGACGTTCAAGCGAAATTGGTGCGACTTGACGGGAATAGTGGAGATCTGACACTCGTAGAGTCCCTGGTCTCTCCCTTGCGCCCACTTTATGCAAAGAGTCCATTCAGACCACTCGCTATTTGGGCCTGTATTTTGTATGTGAAGCGCTTGGAATCGCTGGTCGCTCGTGTAGGTATACGCCCCTGCCGTTAAAATGTGAATATCCCTGTGCCTCACCCAGGATACCTTTGCAAACGGAATTTCAAAGAGGGGTGAATGATGGTAATCGGGAAAGATCGAACAGACCGCGTTATAACGAACTCGGCAGAGGAGCGAGTTGAATCGCGAGTCGTGAACGATACGCGATTTCCGCGCGACTCGAAGCGGTTCGTCGTCGATACGTTTACGTTCGCCTCGGGAGGCGAAGCGGCGTGAGAATATCGTGGAAACCGTGTCGCGGTACCACGGGGGTGAAATTTTAACGAACGGGCGACGCGTGATACGGGCATTAACGCGTTACGACTCGTCTTAAAATTACGGGCCAGCGAACGAGTCGCTGGAGAATCGAGTCGGCTGAATATTGCAAGCTCGCGCTGGAACTTTGGGAAATCTTTCAAAAATTCTGGGAAATCGCGCAGTGGGGCGATGAACGTCGCTGCTCGATCAATATTTCGGATAGGTTTCGCCGTGTCGCCGTGCTAAATATTTCAAGAATCCGCGGTGAGAGGTCAGAAACTTTGTCACCGCCCAGTTTCCGTTGCTCGCAAGAATTTTGCGGCCCGACTATGATACATAATTCGTTTCGACGATGGGCACATTTAAACTTCGGCTCTCGGTGAACTTTGACGTCTTCGGGGACGTCGGTAATTTCATCAGCCCTGTACACGTGCTCGCCGTTGCCGAGCTCTTACCGACAACGGGAGAGTAATTCGGTAAACTCGCGGCAAGTCTGCCATCGGCGAAGTAACCGGGACGAACGGCTAACGATCGGTGCACGATTCGCCGGCTCTTACCGACTGGTAAGAAAAATTTCATTCCAGTGAAACAGAGCTTTCGTCGCGGCCGTGAGTGGAGCCGCGATTTTCAAAGACCACGCGCCGGTTACGAACCCCTTTGGGACGAAACGATTCCATCTACGCTTTTCCACCCGGGATTCGATTCGAGGTCCTTTCCCCGAAGTAACGTCGCCGAAAGAACGATTCGAATAAACCACGCGATTTGCCTGCTTCTTCTCCTTTCTTTTCCCATTATTATTAATACCGTTGCTGGATAGCAATTGTCCTACTCGCGAGGTAATCCAGCGTAATCTTCATCAGAGATCAGCAGAGATACCCCCGGCTTTGACGGATCGCGATGAAAGTCGGAGAACGAGGTCGAAGAAATTATTTCGTAACCTTTGGCGCGAGAAATTGACTTTTCCATCGAAGAACTATTAGCAGCGCAAAAGGGAAAAGGTAATCGGATGACCGACTCATCCGGCCGGGCAATTCGAATCGCTTGAAACGCGCCAGACCGAAGCATGGCTTGGGTGTTCGCGTTTAATCGAACATTAATAAAAGTCCCGTAGATTTTTCCGTCTACTACCCTCTCCTCTAATACCATGGCGATCTGGATTGAAATTCTTTTAATTACTCTTCGAACGAACGGCGATCCCTTTGAGGGACTCGGCGGATATTTTTTCGCCCTCTCGCGATTCGCCCGCCGAGAAGTTCTCCGAGTGGCCAAGCGAGAAAGTTCCACGTTAATTGCCAACACCTTTAACCCTATCGGAAAGGATCGCTATTATTCCCAAAGTCGACCAGTTAGCAAAGAATTCACGTCCGCGTGGAAACTCGAGTCGTAAAACCGCGGATTACGCGAGCGGACGTGGACGATAAATTTTATCGGTTCGTCGACCTGTCGTGTCACGGGTAAACTCTAAACGAAACGCTGCTATAGTGTATAATACCAACGACGATTAGTACTCGGCAATGAAAGGCGATTTGCGCGTGAAAGCTCGCGGGATGCTCGCGAATCCTCGGTGTCTCGCCGCTTCGCCGATACTCGCGTATTCTCTGCAATTCATTCTCCGAGGTAAACCGGAAAAGACAGCTGTCTCCGGTGACTTTGAATCCTCGTGTAACTGCACGAGCGGTCCACGTTGGCACCACTTTGCGTATTTACTCCGAGAAGTTTACGTCTCACAGCGACTGTCTGCCGCGACGTTACCGCGCGGAAATAGCGGCGGTTTTACGCTTCGGAACTTGGCTATCGAAACGACGGGCTGCTGGGGCACCGACGGAACCGAAACTGCGAAAACGCGTCCAAAATGATGAACGACGAACGTCGAGCAACACTCTCGCGAATAGAACCGTAGAGGAAGTCTTGCTTGCGTGAACTCGAGTCTGTCGCGGGAAGACCCGACAACCCTCTGTACCTTTATTAGACCGAAATACCGATACCGAGTACTTTTATGTCGATCTGTATTAAATAAATATTTTTACAGGCGATACCGTCCACGGAGGATCCCGCTACCCGAAAGCCAAAAAGGGTGGAGAAACCTGGACGAAGACGACGAGATGCACAGAGGCGAATAATACGAGTGGACCATAGCGAGCAGGTAGCATGCAAAGTGGCGGGAATCACGTATCGAGGAAATCCGTATGACCTAGCAATTTGGACGTCGAGCAAATGGAATTTCACGGCTGACGCGGAACAACGAATGAAATTAAGGTACGTCGAGCCCTTGACTGTATAATGAATTTACTTAATACGGTTTACACACTACGAAATACCGAAATTGAACGGCCTTGTTTCCACGTTGTGCCCGTAGCTACAGCCTCGCGGTTTCGCACCCTCCGCGCGGCCATCTTTACCGCGCTCGTTCTCTCCGTCTAACTTTATTTTCTACATTCGCTACTAATCAAACCGGAGTTTACCCACGAGCATTTCGCAGCTGCGAAACTTGCCCAAGGAACTGAACGAATATTTAATAACGCTGCGAGGTAGCTCGATCGAACGAGGCCGATAACGTGGACGAAAGGTCGGCCAGGTTCCCGGGTTTTCCTCCAGTTTTCGACTCTATTTTCCGCAAATTACGATCTTCGGAGTACTACCAGCAACGATAACGTTCCCCGAATTCTGTTCCATAATTACCAGTGGTCAAACGTGACCGCCGCTTACGAAACGTTCCAGCGATGAACTATCCGGCAGGAGTGATCCTCGCTGCTCTCTCATCCTCGCGATCGATTCTCGCACGCATGTCCGAGCGTGATAGCGTGAACGCGTAATAAACTGCCGTTTCAAAGCAACCGATACCGAGAAACTACTCGTTCGGAAGCCTCTTAACTTCATCGCCTCTTAACATTGCGTCTGCTGGCCGATGCGATCGAGATACCCGGCGAAAGAGTTGTAAAGACGGAGCGATGTAATTCGTCGAGCATCGCGATCCCCTACGGTATAACTGGAATATCGCGAGTATCTTCCGTCGATACTTTCGATCGACCGATACCTGCAACGTCGGGACCGCGAGCCGTGATAAAATCGAGTTTCCAGTTGCCTTGAAGGTCGATTAACGTCCAATCGAGCTCGAGCAACTCGATTATTTCCTGCAAATCGCTTTCCTAAGGCCTTTACGAAGATCGGGTTTCCTCTCTTGTTCCGTCCACGGTACACCGGCCTTTGTCGTAATTACCTTGCCACAAATTTGTCGAAAGCCCGTGGCATAACTCGGAGCGTACGCGAGCGAGCATTTTTCTACGACGTTAAGCAATTTTCCACGGTATGCCGGCGACCTCTCGGCACCGCGAGTTCGAAACAGTTCTCGAATGGAAAGAATTGTTCCGGGCCGATCGGAAATTATCCCCGATAGATGGGTACAGATTCTTTCGCGTGGTTAACCGGCGACCGCGACCGCGACCGCGACCGACGCGATGGATCACGAGGCAAGGACTGAACGAAAAAGTCTTACGGTTTTGTCACCCAGGTTGCGAACTCTACACGTGAGATAAGCGGTCTTCCCTACTAGTGCTGTCACGTTGGTGTTTTGCGAGTAGTCGAACGTGGGCTCCACCTTCGGCTTCAGGCCGGAAGGATCCACCAACTGATTTCGCGGTCTAGTCTGACTCGCGTGTCGTTCCATGTTGTCCGCCGTACGCTCCCCCAAACTCAGCGTATCTGTAACCATAAACGAAAATTCCTCCATCAGATAGACGCCACTTGTCTTCTCCTTCTCGCATTCTTCTCGGTCTATTTCCTGTTTATTCCTCTATATTTTCCGAACCTGCCTCGTTACATTTGTCTTTCATCTTTCTCGTTGCTACGATCAAAGTAAACTTCCTCCCGATCAGCAGAGAGAAATAAACTTTTTATACGAGAAATAAAAGCGCGCAATTTCTCGTCGTCGAGGTATTCGCGAAGGGAATAGAACGAGCGTTCTAATGGAGGCAGCGACGATAAACGAAACGCACTGGAATACGCGTTTTGGCCTTGGTACTCGACAAAATTGTCCGCGAGCCGTGCGAGATAATTGATTTTAAATGGTCGTCGATGTACTCGTATATTTTCGTTATTTTACGGTTATAGAGAGTGACAGGTTAAATTGTCTCGCTATTGCACGCTCACCGAAAATCAGATTTCGCGTTGGAATATTAAATTCGCTTGTTCTTTCGATACCATCCCGGCCGCGCCGTGTTTATGAAAACCCGAATATCATTTCCAAATTTCGCCGAAAGCTGGAGCACGGGTGAATTGTAACTCTTTCGTTGTTACACGCGACGAATATCAATGTTCCTTTATTTCGATATTTCCATGGTACATGGTATACCGCGGTCGCACTGTGTGTCAAACCGGTAAGCGCTCGCGCTCGTATTCCCGAGGGTTCGAGTAATAAAGGATGATTAAAAATTCAGGGGTAATAGATGACGTCGCAAACTAACGGTAAACGCTGCGCCGGATAAAGAAAGCCGGCCAGAGTTCTCCTTTAAACGGCGAAATGAATTTATCGTGTCACTGGAATACCTAATTTTGCAAGAGGAGAGGCCGGAGAGCACACGTGAAAGCGTTCTTCCTCGCGCGAGGCTACGGGTCGTCGTTGTTTGTCGGTCAAAGTATCAAGAAAGAGCGGAAAGTTTTAAAAGAGAAAGAACGTGCATAGAGGAGAACTCGCAGGCGAATCTCCGGGTAAATAAGCCGTCTGAGAGCTGAGAGTATAAGAATAGAGGGCACTTTCAATAGGAAAACGTATACGGAGTTCCTATAGCTGGCTGCTCGAGAAACATAATAGCCGCGGGTTGTAGCCATAGCTGGGAGGAGATTAGACGGGATTAGATTAGATCAGTGCTCATTACACGTTGGCTTAAGAGTGAATTAGATGGAGAACGAGTCGGTGGTGGCCGACGAAGAAAAGGCTGGTCTAGCCCGAAGGGTTTGTATCGCTCTACGTTGTTTTTCTCGTGATCCATCACGGGGAAGAAAAGTCGGATACACTCGTCTGACCGCTTGAAACGCGTGTGCCGTGGCGCGCGCGTTATTAATATACATGAACAGCGGCGGACCCTCGGCTCTCCTTTCCAACTATGCTAATTTCTCCACGCGAATTCCTGCGTAAGTTACTTTTTCAATCGGCCGAGCATCGAGGAAACGACTCTCTTACCTCGGCCTCTCGTGCAATGACTAGCGTTCCTGTCCCGGCGATATCGTTACTCCCTTCGCGTTAACCCGATCTTTAATTACGACCGAGTATACCTTCGACGCTGCTATACGACCATCTCCGACTACGGCTGTATGAATTTCCACGCGTTGGCCGTTCTTCCTCCGCCTAACTACCGCTATCGGTGTTATTTAAGCAGGCCGAGTGATCAGTGGAACAGCAATATAATAAATCCGTCGAGTATGTAGTCGGGGAACATTTCTAGATATTTTATACGCTTTACCACGCAGCTCGCTTTAATTAATTCTGTAGCAACAACTAAGCTTCAAGAGCTTATAACGAGCTTTTCCGTGCACTCCGGGGGCTCCTCTCTGGCTTTTCTACTCTTTCACCCGCACCTCCCCCCCCCC